CAGGAGCTTCTCGCCCTTGCAGTTCATCCCCTCCTCATTCTCCCGGCGCAGGGCAGGAGAGGATGGGAACCGAGATACACAGGCAGAGGGCAGCGATGCTGAGACACGGCCAAGCAGCCTGCATCTGGCTGGTTGTAGGACCGGGAAGCCTAGAGCCGAGAGCTGACGGGGAACCATGTATAAACACGAGAAGGGGCCGCAGTGGGAAAGCAGAGGCCTGGGAAAGGAATCGCAGGGAAGGGAACTGTGGCTTCCATCAGGTGTGAAGTTGGCGAAAACAACTTGTTGATGAGTGGGAAGTGCTCTGGATCCACACCATCACCCGCAAGCTCCCCTTCTCCCCACCCTGGAGGTGGAGGCTGCTGGTTTAACGAGCAGCTGCTGGAAGGAGTGTGCTGGGACTGTGGGTATGGAACACATACCTGGGTGTGAGCCACTGGCAAACTTCATTTTACAGGGTGCTTGGGGGTGGGTGGAGGGGGGCCTGTTTCCAAGAGGCTAAAAATGTGGCTTGAGTTTTTCCTCCTTCTCTTGGAACTCTTAATTCCTTATACTATGTCAGTGTTTTCCAAACTCCTCCTCCAGCTCACAGTAAGAAACACCTTTTTCATCATGACCTCCCGTGGACACACACACAAAGACCCAGCTGCTGTATCCACATGGTCATGCAGACGTGGAACAGAAGGCTGCACTTGTGTGATTTCTCTTCTTACCTACTTATATTTACGTGTTTCTGAATGTTGTCACAGACCACAGAGTAGATGACCTGTTCCCTCTTGCTGTTCAGTCCACAGTTTGAGAAATGCTCTATGCCATGATCCGGTGGCTTAAATGACGGTGAACCCTGCGCTGAGGGTGACAGAATGTGTCTACACTTCTGATCTGTAGATGTGTTTACGGTGAGAGAAGCTTTAACCGCATCTTCCCTTTCTCTCTCTTTCCCTTTGAGCCGTGTCTGGCCCATCTGGCCAGCCGTGTGCGTGGGGCAGTCGCCTGGGTGTTGAATGCAGGGGGGCAGGGACGAGTGTCCTGGTCTCTCACTTGGGCTGCGCGGGTGCTTTTGTTAGAATACTGCCATCGCTCTCATGGACGTCTTCTGTGCTGTTTCACAGTTCTTCTCCCCTCCCCTCCCCATTAAGCCGTAATCGCTCAGGGCCCTCCTTGGCTCAGCCATAGCGGCAGCCTGGGAAAAGAAGTGAAGGGAGTTTGGTCGGTCGGATTAGATGTGGTCCCTGACGCTTTCTCCCCTTACTCCGGAGATGTGCTTCTGCTGTTTTGATGGGAAGCGACCTTCTGCTGACCTTGAAGTGCCATCTTAAGCCCTAGTATTAAACTGTCTCCTTTTCAGCCACTGCTTCATTCCCTGATCTGTATCTGTTTCAGACCAGGCCCTGTGAACGTGGACTGGACGTGCACCCCCCAGTGCAGCAGGTGCCCTGGTCTCTGCGTTCTCCCCTCTCCCCGTCTGGCATCAGAGAGGCTCTTGCGTGTCTCAGTGTCGGTCTGTTGTCGGTTTTTTCTCGCTTTATTGCCCCTTCTGGGCCCCCCGTACTAGGGGCTTCTAGATGCTCAGAATCATCCGAGGTGGCCTGACAGAACAGGCCTGGTCTGGCTTGCTTGCTTCTTTTCTTTGGGAAAAAGATAGGAATGCAGAAGAAGACATCTAAGTCAGGTAGCAGAGCCGGAACAGTAGTGAAAATAAAACCAGTGCTATTTGGGGCCATTCTCTGCCGTATTTATTTCAGCATATTTACCTCATGCATCTTGTATTACATAAACAATAACATTTGTATTTAGTAAATGATTTCTTATAAATAAATTGTAAATAGTAAATAGTCCAAGGGATGTGTGTGTGTCCACCTTGAAACTTCAGCTCTCTGCCAGCATCATAGTGGGAGCAACAGATTCCAGAAGCTGATGCTGGACAAGCTGTTATGAGACACTGCACTGCAGACACATAAAGCCCATTCTTTTTGCTTCAAGACACAGATCTCTTTTTAACCTTCTCACTCCTGGGTTAAGAGCAGGAAGACACCATGTGGAGCAGAGAGAAAAGGGAGCCAAGGAGGGGCCAGTCTCTCTTTAACACCCCGGGGCCCAGGCTCCTTGCTGCCTCTGCTCCAGCCCGGGTTCAGGACTGAGGGGTTCACACAGTTAGGTACAGTGTGGTGGTGTGTCTGGAGGTTCACTGTGGAGTAAAAGGAAGGGAAATGGGGGTGAAGGAGAGAAAGGTCATGAATGAAGCAACCCCTGCCCTCCACGTTGTTACCAGTGGTTTAAGTGGGAGGCGCGGGGTGAGGCTGATGGTCCAGACCCCAGGACCAGGCCGTTTGCAGCTCAGGACGGCACCGTCGGGGCCGCCTGTGGCTCACGGGCTGCGCTGTGTCCTGTGAGGGGCAGGGCGGTTTTGGCAGTGGCGGCAGTGCGGTGGGTCCCTTGGGGTGGGCCTCACCACTGTCCCCTCCCAGCTTGGGACGCTCGTCGTCCGTGGGGCGAGCCCACACCTCAGAATCCTGTGAACAGAAAAGTGCGGCCCCTGGTCTCCTCCGCGAGCTGCCTGGGGCTGGAACGTGAAAGCGGGCCCAGCCCGGTGCCCAGGAGGCGGGAGGAAGCCTGTGCGCTCTGAGGGGAGGCGGGGCGGGGAGAAGCCGCGAGAGTGACGGTCGGAGTCTGGTGCGCCGACCTGGGCCGCGGGCTGTGAGGCAGAGCAGGGGCGCGGGGGCTGCGGCGCCCGCTCTTGGGGCCGGACTCCCCTGTCACACGTGAAGTTTGGTTCATTCTGCCGGTTTGCACAGGTCCTGTGGTTACATTCCTGGACTCGCTCTTCCAGGGCCTCTTGTCGGTGAGCTCTGCGCTGCAGGGCTTGCAGTGCGGAGCGGTGCCCGTTTCACTGGCAGCTGGTGCTCTGCCTGGAGATCTCGGGGCTCTCTGTCAGCAGCTCTGCTCAGCCCCCACAGTCTGCTTTGACTTGCCGACTCGTCCTCCTCATCGGGCACTTATTCTTACTTTTTCGTACTTGGTTCCTCTTCCCACCGTTCCCGTTTAGAGTTTGATAAGTTACAGTCACGTGGATGTGCATAAATGTGTATTTTGCCAGGGGCCAATATTTGTCTGGCATCCGGCACGTGTGCATGAGGAGCTCAGTCACCATGGGAGGGAACAAAGAGGACATCCTTGCCCAGTGCAGCCCGAGGGCTTGTCTCCATCCGCCAATGACCGCTGCTTCAGTGCCACGGGGCCCGCACGGTGTAGCGCATGCCCAGGGTGACCAGGCGCCCGGACGCGCTGCTGTGCGTTGTGCTCAGCTGGCAAGGGCCGAGTGGGGGCCGAGCTTGCTCTGCGGAGTGGAGGCGCGGGCGCTACTGACGTGGGGCAGACGTAAGGGCAGGTGGCTTACTGGACGCGTCTGTGCACAAGAAACTAATGCTGGCTGAAGCCTCTTGCTGAGGATCCTCCTGGCTCCTTGGAGGACTTGTGTTTTTTGGCTCTCAAGTCCTTCCCCCTCTCCCTCAGGTCACTTCGAGGAGACCCCAGCTCACGTCATTCACCTCAGCAAAGTCACACTGTGTGTGGCTCGAGGGGAAGAGGAGCTGGGCCACTTGATCCCCTGCCGAGAGCCGGCTCGGGTCAGTGCACCCGCTCCGTGACCCCTTCTATAAACAGGAGCAGGCATTCTTGCTCCCAGATCCCTTTCGTCAGCGTCTTAGGCTGAATGAAAAGCCCTGCGAAAAGGAGGTGCGGCCCTAATAATAACAGTACTATCGCGGCGGCTGTTTGGGGCCGGGCAGCTCTGTGCCGCTCTTGATCTCCATCGACGTCTGCCATTCTTGCCCTGCCGTTACCTTTCTGACTTCCTATTCTTAGAATCATCTGTGAGCCCTGGGCTTGGGGGATTGCAGCCCCCAACGCTGGAATGCCTAGCTTGAGTGGAATGCAGACTGTCTGGCAGAGTGGAGGTTAAATAAAGTTTGCCTTGGCAGCCCCCTCTGCTCCTGGATGGGCGACAAGTAACTCGGGTGTAGGAGCAATGGCACGAGCTGCCGTGCGGTGGGGGCCAGAGCCCTCCATGCCTGAGTGGAGTGGTGGACGGTCCACTCGCAGTCGCGGCCGTGCCAAGGAGGCCTCTGCCGTCCTGAAGCTCAGGTGGTGACCATACTGCTCTGGAAGATGCAGAGACAAATAAGGAATAAGGTCGAAACGCCCTGCAGGAACTGCAGGCTTGGCGTTACCTGCCCCCTCTGTCATTGGCTCATTTTTGAAAGAAAGACAAAGACGGAAATGTTCATTGTAGTGAGAACAGCTGCCAGGCGGTCCGCAGACCTCCCCCGGGGAGCTTTGGTCGTGGGGGCTCTCGTTTACTTACAGTTAGTTGGAAAGTCAAGCTATGAATACGTGAGAAAATAACTTCTATTCCAAAGAGAGATCCTAACCCTGCACCTGTGCTGTAGAGCTGAGTGCCGAAGGCGGGGTAAGGAGAGAGCGCCCTTCTGGCTCGAACGGCCAGGAAGGACTGCGTGGGGGGCGTGGGGTTAAACAGGTTTTGCCGGAAGAGCAGGCTTCTGCTCCTGGAACAGAGACTGCCTGGCCTGTTGGGGGTCAAGGGCGGGGGTAGGGAGTCCCAAGGACGGGTCACGGGACTTGATGTGGACGGGGTGGCCGGCGGAGGGGCTCGTCGCTCTGCAGGCCGTGTGTGCGTGTTCCTGAGAAGGGGCAGTGCTCCGCCCCGGAGGGCAGCTGGAAAGGAGCGGCCTCCCCCAGAGCCCAAGGCCCTGGGGTGTTCTGTTCTAAAACTCCTGGTATACAATTTGTAGCTCGTTGCAGACACTCAGTGAATAAAAATATTAGTTACTCCTCATCTTCAGATTCTGTGCCCCCAGGTGGTTGAACTGGCTTGGTGTCACCTATGAGAGCCGGTTGCCCTGTTCTGTTTGTGCCTGATTCACGCCTTGCTGTGCCCTTCCCTTCAGGGCCATCTGACTCTTCTCTTTCTCCCACCACAGGTGGCTGGAGGTGCAGGTCGCTAACCTGACGAGTCCGCGGCGCTGGGTGCAGTACCTCCGGCTTCTTCAGGAGTCCGTCTGGCCTGGTGGGGTTTTGCCTAAGGGTCCTCGGCCCGTGAGGACCCAGGAGCAGAAGGTGGCTGCTGAGAAGCAGGCTTTGCAGAGCCTGATGGGAGTCCTGCCAGGTAACTGGACAGCGAGACTGGTCATGCTGATAAGCGTTGCTCCCTTATCCTGCTTGGCTGTTGTTACCCCACACCCTTCCCCATGTGTAAGTGGGCCCTGAACGTGGCTAGACTCAAAACCTTGTGGACACAGCATTTCTGAGGCTGAGAAGAAGGACCAGGCCTGCAGGTGGTGCTAAGGGTGGACAAGATCCCAGGGGCAGGTCTCAGGCCCATTCCCACCAGATGGAGACTTCCAGGCCTCTGCCAGCTTATGGCATTTTGGACCAGGGAAGAGAATGATACGTCCTGCAGAAGCTGCGTGTGGTAACGGGGCCACTGGGGTATATGGTCCTTAGCAGGAGAAAAAACAAACCCACTCTGAAGAGGGTTTTCCCCTTCGCTTTGCACAGTTTTCTCAGAGGGCAGAGGAAGGCAGTCGTTGGCTGCGGCCGTCCTGGGGCCCAGGGAGCAGTCGTGAGCTCGCGGCTCCAGACAGTCGTGTCTGCTCTTAGGAACCTCTACTCTCCAGCCTGAACTGTTCCATCAGAAGCACCTGCCCTTCAGTGACGGGTTACACCATGATTTCTTGAGGCCCGTTCTTATCTATTACTTAACTCAAACATTTTCCTTAGTTTTCCCCTGTTTGAGGATTTTAGTTTGGCTCCGTGGTGCACAGGTGTGCCAGAAGGGCCCGGTTGGACTAAAGACGGCAGCTGCCCTGAGCAGACCTTCCCCTTAGACGCTGAGGCCTCGGTGGTGACGCCGAAACCGTGTCTGTGTTTTCCTGTCCAGACGTCGCAGTGGAGATCCTCGGGGTGAACAGGTGCCGCCTGGGCTGGAGCCTGGTCCTGGAGTCGCTGCAGCAGCCGCTCATCGACAGGTGGGCCGGTCTGCGCTGTCTCTGGCCCGGGGCCGCCCGGTGTCTGGGTGGACGGTGTCCAGGCAGAGCGTGGCCGCCGGGTCCATGCGTGCCGCCAACAGCCCGTTCTGCTGGCTTCTGAGCAGGTTGTCCGGGCTGGGAGCCTCGTGCGGGAGCCGCCGCTGCTCACTTGAGAGAACCCAGTGCAGGTCCCTGGCTCGTTCTGCCTAACGCCTGCCCGCCCCTGGGAGCCCGGCGGGAGCACCCGGCCTGTGCGGCACGTGCGGCCCGGGTTCCTGGCCTCGCCGCAGAGCTGTGGCTGGCGTTAGGGTCAGAGTTGTCTTTGCTTAGTGTGAGGAGGACAGGAGGATGGGCTGGACTCCAGTGAAGGGACGGGGCGTGCTGAGCACCCGTGGGGGGGCGGCGGGGTAGGTGTCTCCCTGGCCGGTCCCATGGGATGGAAAGCTGAGCGTGTCAAGTGCCCTTGCCCCCTCCCACGCCCTGCCCCACCGCACACTGGGCCTGTCACCTCCACTCCCACGGGCCCTGGCTTCTGCCTCATCACAGGTGACTGGCAGATTCTCAGTTAAGCTGTTGTCGGGGATCTCCTTTCCCTCAAGAGTTCTGCATTTGGAGCAGCGCCTACGTGCTGCTGTAGCTAGATGAGCAAATGTGGAATTTCCCAAACCCCGTCCCAAGTACTGTCCCCACCTCTGCTGAGGTCAGAGCCTGTGTTATTAGTTCAACAAGCTTTCATTTCACACAAAGGCCTCGTCAGGCTGTTGACGTTTGCAGTCCACCAAGGACATCAGTGGAGGGGAGGGGAGGGGAGATAAATGGCATAAACAGGATCCGGCGTCTCTGGACTGAGGCAGCGCCTCCTCTAAGTTGTTCTGTCCATCTGTTGCAGGCACTTGGTTTACTGCCTTTGGGACGTCATCCTGGAATTCTTGGATCTTAGCGCCTGTGCTGAGGGGTCTCCCACAGCCGCCTCTGCCTCAGATCCACCCGGCAAACCCAAGAAGACGGGTGTCTCCTCTTAGCCGGAGATGATTCACCCATCTCTTCAAAGGTTAGGGAGGAGAGCTGCCTGCTACCCAGGGACCGGTCAGGGGGCCTGTGCCCTCCAGAACAGGGCTGTGAGTCAGGGGGCCTGGGTCTCAGCAGCACAGTTCTCCCCCCACCTCCCCTCCTTGTAGCAGGCAATGGGGGGATATGTACCAGCTGCACACGTATCCATTCCCATGCCTGTTTGATGGTGTTTGAGTAGTTGCTGGTGTCGGTCCTGCTCCCTTTGGAAAAGGAAGCCGTGAGTCGAGGGGCAAGCCCTTTTTGCCCTCCTCTCTAAGACTGCTCGCCGGTAGCCTGGCTCTGTGCACGTGTGTGCCTGATCCGCCGGCGCAGGCCCCAGACAGACCAGGGGAGAACCGACAGCCAGCTTCCCTTGGAGGAGAAGACAGTCTTCTGAGTTCTCCGTTCCCACCAGGACACTGGAAAGCCGTGCAGGGCTGCTCTAGAAAGCCAGAGCCCGGGTCCTCGCGGTTTCCCAGCAGTCTCACAACAGGGAGGGGGCGCTTCCTACTGCTCACTGGCTGTTGTCCAGCACGTCAGCTCTGCTGAGGATGTCACTGAAGGCTGCTTCCCTGGGTGGCTACCCTTTTCCTGTCTAGAGACGTCAAAGCTCCAGTAGACCCACCCCACCCTCCACACCCCTTCCTGAAAGACTGCACCACAGATTTTATTAGCTTGCTTTCTAACTCCTTTCCCAAGAGCGGTTGAGTTTTGGCCTTTGTGGCCTCCTTTGTCTTTCTTGAGCAAAATAACATGGCGAGTTGCGTATCCAGCCCAATGCTCCCCGATGGGACGGGGAGCACTCGCTCCGCGGCTGAGAACGGCCAGAGCAGTGGGGGTTCTGTCTTCACAAGTGCCTGGCAGGGACCTTTCCTTTTGAACTGATAATATTAGCAAACTTGCAGGGAATTGATTACCCACAAAAAGCTTTTAACTTCCTGTTCCTTCGGGATCTGATTAGTCTTTAAGAACGCCAGTGGTGACAGCAAAGTTGCAGCGTCCACTAGAAAGATGGGCCACTTGGAGAAATCAGTGAGAAAGGAGGGTCGTTGAGCCAGGAGGCAGGCTGCCGCTGCCCGAGAAACGCGCATGCGCACTGACGAGGTCTGTGGTACCCCTGAGGACCCGCTCACCCCATTCTGTTAGCGTGCACCTGCTGGGCACCACCTGCCTCCCCCGAACTGTGCATCCCCTCGACCTGAGCAGGGTCTTGAGGTTAGACTGGTGAGAACAGGGTGGGCCTGGAGCAAGCGTCAGGGTTCTCCTAGACTCCGAAGTGGGTGACACACACAGTTAAAGCTGTTCATGGGAGAAAGTTGTGAAATCTTTACTTTTTCCCCGCATCCTGTGTGTTCTGATGTAAATGGGAGGCTTCGGAGTACTGCTGTTGCCTAAGGCAAGGGGTGAATGAGGTCGTGCCCTTCTAGCCTTAAACACTGACTGTTGCAATGACTTGACGGCTCCGAAGTTCTCACTGCATCTCCCACCCTGACACTCCCGGGAGAAGCAGCTCAATGTCTCTGCCTTTGGTTGGTAAATGTCTGCAGGGGGCAGGGGGCAGGGGTCCAGCCGCCACTGCAGCCGCTCCCCCCTCCCGTCAGGGCCACCGAGCTCCTCGGGACTCCCCATACTTTGCTGTCCTGTGCACTTGCCACCTGTATCGCTCTGCAGCTCTGCTACTGTTCTGACCCAGATGTGGCACAAAACCAGTACACAAGCCGATACACTATAAATCTCCTGTGACTGTAAATTCTAAGGAGAATACTGGCACTTCCAATCCAAAGAAAGCTTCCTTGTATCTCATGTTGTGAGAGACCCCACCTCTACGCTCTCTGTCCCTGAAAGATAAGCTGTCCTCAGGCCCCTCTTCTACCCAGAAGGGAAATAGTGGATATCGTCAAGGAAGTAACCAAAACCCATCTGGCTTTGGAACGACCTGCCAGGTTGAGGTAGCAGACCCAGACCACAAGGGAGGCCAGCGTTGGGGAGAGAGCCGTCGGTGTCGCAGCTGAGAGAGGGAGTGATGAATGAAGGATTGGACCTGCACTGACCCAGAACACTCGTCAGTCTTCTGCCCCACCCCCAGCCCACTCATTTGCAGCCCCCACCCTGCTGTGCTTGTGGCACCCAACAGCAGTGTCGGGTCCCTCGCAACCTGCTGTTTCTCCTCATCTCTACTGCACTGGAGCAAAGACGTGTTTTCTTAGGATGAGGAGAGGAAGGTTAGCCAAGGCTGCAGGACACAGGTGGGAATGGGAACCAGGGCGGGGGCAGCAGCAGCTGGGGAGGAAGGGAAACCGTGATGCTGTTGTCTTTGGAGCCCAGCTGGGCACACTCTGCCCTAACTTGGCACCTCTGTTTCCTTTCCACTGGGAGTGCCAGAACGCACAGGGCAGTGCTTCTCACACTGCTGTGTGGACCAGAGAACAAAACCACTGGAGGGTGGATCTTGGCCAGCAACCCTCCGTCACTGCTCTGTGGTATAAAGGCTGAGGATGCCTTTCAGGAGAGAGCCGGGGTGGGGGGGAGCCACCCGAATGCTACTCCCACCCTGAGGCCTGTGTGATGTTTCTGAGGACAGAGACGCAGTGTTTGGTAAACACATACTCACAAGAACGAACCCAGAAGAGAGTGTGAGGCAAGAAGCCAGGGCAGGCCCTTCCCCTGCTGCGAGCCGGCAGTGCGGCAGTGGGGCCGAGGCGGCACGCGGCGGGGACCTGGCACCACAGTCCCCGGCAGGTGCGCTGTGCGGCTCGTGGGCCTGCCGAACCTTCCTCTCACTTCTCACCTGTCTCTGGTCTGAAACGCGTTTGCACTCGGCTTTTTCGGAAGCGAAAACAAGCATGTAACTCAATAGCGAGAACTGCTGGCTTGGATGTCACCGACGGGACACACACCTCAGCTGTTGAGACCTTACCCGCGGGCGCGTCTGTGAGTCCCTCGCACGCTGCTTCCAGGACGTAGAGAGCTGGGAGGAAAAAAGTCAAAACAGAAAAGTGATAGAATCAAGACCCAAACTTAGAAGACATTTCTTAAGTGACATTATTTACTCATTTTAACCCCAAACAGACCTCTTTGTCACGTCAGCGTTTGCTTAGGAAACGCAAGCTCGTTTTAGTGTTAAAGTGCCGTAAAGCTTAGGAAGGTCTGTGGCTTCAGTGTCAATAACCCGTACTTTGACTTCTTTCCCTTCCCCACGTGTTCCCTACGACCGCTGCACCCGATTCGAATGAGCGGTGGAGGGGTGGCCATTTGGATTAATCAGCCAGGGTGAAGACACAGGTGAACGCAGAGGCCAGAGGCTGCAGGGGTGAAGGCACCAGCGTGGCCACAGGAGCCGCGCCCTCCCCGCGTTGCTGCGCGGCCCGGGGCTCCGCTGAAGGACCGCTCTGCCCCGTGGCTGTCTGAAGGTTAGCCAGGACTTAGCAACATGTCTGCATCTTGTAGCGCGCCATTAGGGAGGAGAGACCTTATTAAAGACTTTTTTCCTAGAGTTTATAACCTTTACAAATACAAGGAGTCCAAATTCAACAAAGTGACGGCAAGCCAGCTGCTTTGAAGAACAGCGAGGGCACCTTTCGTTGAGGCTTCGTGCGTCTGCAGGAGACGTGGGCTTGGTCGCAGTAGGACTTCACTTGGCGGCAGAATGTATTGAGACAGGTTCTACAGAAATCCGGGGGCTTGTGTTCTGCTACTTCCGGCCTCTGTCCTTTGGCACATGCTCTTCCCTGCAAGTAGGCCACCTCCCTCCCTCCAGCTGGACACACAGGCAGCTGCTCTCAGAGCCAGTTCCATTTCCACCTTCTCCTCGAAGCTTTGTCTGTCTGTGCAGCCCGGACTCCCCTTCCTGCCAGTTACTGCCTGCCTCTCAGATCAGTGGGCTTCCGCGTGGGGCCTTCAGCAAGAGGGAACTGGGAGAGTTCTGTCCGCTCTTCTCTCATTATACCCCTTTGCCTCAACCCTCCTGTGTACCTGGTGCAAAGTCGTGTGGAATAAATGCTGATGCTCACCTAACGAAAGAAGATTATGCTTATTGGTTTTATGAGATAAAATACGTGAATAAGCTGAACGGAAGAAGAATTTGCTGGGGACAAAAGATGGAAAGAGGAGAGGCAGATTTTCATTTTTAGGACCTTTTATCTTTATTTTACAGCAAATATCAAATGAAAGAAACTTGTTTTTATATTTCCTCTGCCGAAACCCGCAGAGTTTTGTAATAGTACCCTTTGCAGGCTGAAGTATGTAGACCATAAGGTTATAGAGCTAAGCTTTATAAAGAAAACTGGCCCTGATTTGAAAGTGGTTTTTAAAATCATCCAGTCACAAAAGCACCCAATACACCCTGTCTGTTCTTGAAGCCCTCCACCTTCACCTACTCGTTCTGTCACTGGGATCAGGGAGGGAAAAAAAAGTCTGCCTGCAGGAAAGACTCTCAGCTTCTTCCTGCCCCAGACACAAATTTGTAAGGAATACAATTACCATGAGAAAAAGAAACCACATTCTTGTCCATTTGCTTTCTGAAAATCCTCTGGTCGCAGATTTAAAAGTCTATTTCACACCTTCTCTAGTAGTTTAAGCCATTTCCAAGACACTACCCGGGGAACTCTTCAAAGACGCAGCCCTAACCTGGAAGAAAAGGCCGGCACAGGCGTCTCCTCGCTCTTCCGGGTGGGTGCTGTCTTCCCCACCACGTTTGCTGCTGCAACTGTTTGCCCAAACACAGCAGGCCAGCATCCGGCAGCTGCCGTCAGGGTGAACTGAGGGCTCTCAGACATCAGGGTTCGCTGTGGGTCCCCACGGCAGCCTGTGGAGATACAGGCACCTGCTGGCTCTGGGCCCCAGAAGGGGCCTCCAGACCGTGACTTGGAAGAGGGCAAGAGCAGGTGAAGGAGCAAAGGCAAGAGTTCGGTCTGAGGATGAGAACAGTGATGCTCTTCATGAGAAGGCGGGAACTAGACGATGTGCTCCGGTTACACGTTCTCGTGGTGGGACCCGTCAGAAGGGTTCCATCTGCTGGGCGGCGGAATCCGTCCCTGGGCTGGGCACATGTGCACAACACATGATGTGGGACAGTCCCTGGAGCCAAGATCGGTTCCGTATCCACCCTGGGGCAGGCTGGTGAGTCGCCAGTGTAAACCTCCTGGGGATTAACCACTTGTTCCAGCGCAGAGCACCAGGTAATTAGTACCAGATCTGTTCCAGACAGCTTTGTGTGTCCTGCCTGTGGGCGAGGACTCGGAAAGCTGCCCTCACAGCGGTCTGTTTGGGTGAGATAGAAGCTGTTACTCTGGTGTTTGAAACAAGTTGTCCGCGTGGACAGGGGTGTGCCCTGCACAGATGTGGGCTTGCGAGTGGCAGGTGGTATTTTATTTAGCAGGCAAGAGTTTGTCTGGACCACTGAGAGGGGCGACGGGGTGGGGGGGGATTGCAGTGACATCTGTGGCCTCCGTGCTCGGAGAGCAGGGCCGTGCGCTCCCAGCGGTCCGGGGAGGATGGCGACAAGAGCACGTGCTCCAGCAGGCTCTGCAGGCCCAGGTTTGGGGAGCGACCTGAGCTCTTCGTAAGACTAGGGTTTCCAGGGATGTTTCCTCATCTAGTCAGCAGCCTGGGACCAAGGGTCTTCCTCGCCCACTTCTTTCTCTGCTTATTTCTGAAACCCTTTCCTTAAAACAAACTAAATAACCAAAAAAGAAAAAAAACTTAAAAAAGGCTTCCTATCTCTTGTCATTTTTCGTTTCTTGTGCAACTCAAAAACTGCTTTCTCTTTACCCCCGATTTTTTCTCCCATTTCAGCTTGCCAGTCTTCGTGGGGTGACGTGGCTACCCCCCCAGTCTAATTGTCTTTGTGATAAATTAATATGGACATCAACTGAAAGTTACACGTAAGCCTTAAATACGTACTTCTTATACTTGACTCCATGTTTGATACTCTGTGAGGAAAACTGCCCTAGTGGTCCCACCTGTGAGGTCAGAATAACCACCAACCCTAAGGTTAAGTATTTTGATAAATTCTTTACCTGTTCCAAACTGCTCATACACTGTCATGGACTGAATTTTTGTGTCCCCCCCTCCCCGAAATGTGTATGTTGCAGCTCTGGCCCCCCGATGTGGTATTAGGAGGTGAGCCTGTGAGAGGTGATTAGATTTACATGAAGTCGTGAGGGTGGAGCCCCCATGATGACATTAGTGCCCTTACGGGAAGAGGCAGAGACACCAGCGCTCCCTCTCCTCACGCACACGCAGAGGGCGCACAGGCACGTGGTGAGGAGTGTCCACCTACAAGCCAAGAGGGGGCCTCAGAACGAGACCACCCTTGCCAGCGTCTCAGTCCTGGAATCCTCAGCCTCCAGGACTGTGAGAAGTGAGTTTCTGGCGTGGCCCCCGGTCTGTGGGGTTTCACCCCAGCAGCCCAAGCTGACTAGGACACAGGACTAGAAAGGTTAGCCACGTGCATCTCTTCCCCTGACCTCACATCCAGGTTCTGAGACTCAGAGTTTAGGACTTGTTGAGCTTTCCATGGAAAACCTGTTGTAAAAACAGTTCAGGCTTTTAAAAATGCAAAACAGCCTCTAGAGATACTGCCAAAGCTGTCCTCAAATCACCTCTCCAAGTTCAACCTCCTAGAGAAACTTCCTGAAAAGCGGTGAAAAAATGCTAAGTAACACCCAGCCGGGAAGGGTGCTGTGTGACAGCAGGAGACGCTGCTGCTTGCACATGTTCCTAGCTCTGTAGGCCTTTTACCTGCTGCCCCGACAGTGGTGTGCAGTGAAGGCGTTCCTTTTTCCAAAATAAAATGTAACAAAGCAGAAGTTGGCCTTGGATTGGCCGGACTTAGCATACTGGCTTGAACCCTGCCAGCTGTGCCCACTGAGCTGTGGGGAGAGAAGCGTCTGTCCTGGCCCACCCCGAGGACCTGCCTGCCCGACCCCGCCACCCGCCCTGCAGCCCTTGGGCGCAGACCATCCTGTGCGCCGAGGTTCCCCAGCATTAAGTACTGTGCTGCAGCAGCTCACCGTCTTCCCCTAAGTACCCTGTTGTCTCGCAAATTCTCGGGAGCCCAGGCTGGTTCCCCCGACCTCCCCACTTCGGCTCCAGACAGACTCTGCCTGCACACAGTTGCTTGATCCCTAAGTAGAGTTGGCAGCCTTGTGTCCGTGAGTCTTTCCTTCTGGAAGGCTGGGGCTCCTCACCACCATTTGGCAGCTCTCTCCCCATCTCCCTACATACGGCACAGCCCACAGCCCTCAAAGCCCCCTTTACTAAGCCACTTTGTTAGGTAGTTTAGACAGAAGTGAGCAGTGGGCAGGGGGAGGGGAGGGGGGAGGGAACCACCCAGAGCCCAAGGAACCTGTGCTGTCAATCAGCCAGAGCGCAGGGAACCTGAGCTTCCAGTCAGCCAATCAGTTAATCAGTCACAAAACCAGGATGGAAAAACAGGAGAAACGAGGGAACAGCGTCGTTTTTCCCCTCCTGGGCTGGCCCGCCCCCGGTTCTCAGGAGTGCTCTGTCTTTCACAACTTTTTTTACCTCACTAATAAAAATCTTGTTTATACCACGCTTTTTGTCTCTCATCAAAAATTCTATCTTTTTCATGTGACTAAGAACCTAGGTAATTCTTATTTCCCTTTCCCTGGTGACATGAATTTTGCTGCCGTGACTCGGATTGCACGCTGAAGCCTAATCGTTCCTCCCTCATCTCCCCCTCCCTGCCCGAGGCCAGCGGGCACAGGCTCTGGGGCCGGCTGTGGAGGCTGCGGCCAGGGTGCAGGGCGTGGGGCTCCAAGCGGGGCCAGGCCGGTCGGACAGCGAGTGGCCCATCAGGGCCCCGGCGCCCGGCCGGCCGCTGCGCAAGGGCACCGAGGCCATGGGCCGCCTCCCCCTGCCCGGCCACACGCACGCCCGGCCCCTGCCAGCCCTGCCCACCAGGGAACTCCAAGTGGGGACAACCAGGCTTACCCAGAACCACAGTAACAGACCACTTCGGGCCCTTACCCTGGACTGGCCCACAGAGAAGACTACTGACCACTGAAAACAGTGCTCCGACACGGGAGAAGCTCCCAAACCAGGGAGAGGAGAAGATGACACTTGAGATAGACGCTGAGCCAAGACGCCGGACCAGGCCTGTGTCCCAGTGACTTCGCCACCCACACCTTTATATACTGGCCTGTGCCCTTTCTGGGGATCCTCGCTTCTGCTTTCTGACCTCTGCTGTCAAGTTCTTTAAAAAAACAAAACACCCTCCTTCAGTCTCTCTTTCCCACAGATCACCGCAGGGTCCCGTGGCTCCGACAAGGCCGCCCACTCTGGGCTCCGACTGACTGACTCTCCGCCCTAAGGGAACCTCCCAGCCTCCTGGTGCGGCCGGGGCCTCGCCCCTGCTCCCGCCGTTCCAGCCTGTGGTGCCCTGGGCACTCACAGCCATGCGCTGCCTGCTTACTCACTGGCCAGCAAGTGTTTGGCCTGAGGAACATTGTCCCCGGTGGCCTTTTCTAGAAAACACTGCCGTGGACAGCAGCCACGGGCTGCGACGTCTCCGCCTCCTTTCTGGCTTCACGTCCCTCCAGGGACACTTCCTCAGGCAAGGAAACCGCTCTGCCTTAGAAAACAGAGCCGCCGGAGTGCTAGCTCAGGTTCTCTCCCGCCGCCTCCCCCAGTCAGGAGCGCCCCTGGGGACCCTCTGAGCCTAACCCGCTGTTTTTGCCCCCCCCAACCCCGTCTCCAGCTATCCCAGTTGAGCAGCTCTACTGCTCCCGGATCACTGACCACCCGCGGGGTTAAAACTCACTGTTTCCTTGGGCTGCGGGGACTCCCAGCTCATGGTGAGACTGTGGCCGCCTTCCCCATCCAGAGAGGAGGCCGGGACGCCGGGTCCTCTGTCTGCGTACCAATGATCCTGGGACGCCAGGCTCTCTTCAGTCCATGCCTTCAGGGTACTCTTGGCTGCAGGCAGAAGACTGAGACGTCAGACCATAGCCTGTGGGCTTCACCTGGGGACGCTGAGCCCCGAAGACCCCCTCCCCCCAGCACCCTGCCCTTCAGATGGAAAACCACCAGCTGACCCCTGCTGGGACCCCCCCCCACCGGACTACATCTTCACCAAAAGCATGGCCTGTAAGTAGGAACATAATTCAGCCCCCTCACTCCAGCGTGACCTCTTCTACGGCACACAAGGCAAGTGGTCTAAAATACCGTACATCCAGGCGTTTTATTAGCTGAGGGACAGCAGTGATCTAAAGAAATGCAAAATAACCACCTTGGCCTGGTTACTATCGCAACCTTCTGTCCCCAGCACCTCCTTGAAAGAGGGAGTCCCTCAGACGTACGTCCTCCCCTGCTCTCCCTACCACATGCCCCTCGTTTCCCTAATGCCCAGGAAAGACTCTGTCTTCAGCTCCTCCATTACCTCCGACAGCTAAGACCTGCCCCCTGGTAGAAGCACGTGGAAACGCTGGTCCACAGCTCATATACAAGCCGTTTTCTCTGACAGAGCTGAGGCAGATTAAGACTAATTTGGTAAGCTAACGATCTCACCTGGGAAGATGTCAATATTTTCCTTGGCCAAACGCTGGCACAGACAAGGAAAGGCTCTCAGAGAAGCCAGAAGATATGCAGACACTCTACATCTGTGTAGCGACAAGTACCCCATAGGGGAACAGCTGTTCCCCCAGTGGACCCCGGATGGGACTCTGGTGACCTTAACCCAAAGTGGGAAAGAGATCATTTTTAACCTGTGTTAAGGCAGGGCTCCAGGCAGCCTGACAGAAGGTTGTCAGTTATTCTAAGACCCTTGTTCGCCCCCTTCATCCCTTGGCTGGATTAGTTCCACATATTTGACCTCTGTCTTTTCAACCTTCTTACAAAATGTGTGTCTTCTTGTCTAGAGTCAGACTTCAAGTGGCTTTACAACAAGGTGATCCCCTACTCAGCCAAGACAGCTTCTACACAAGCCCCTCGCGGGACACCGACCCTCCACTCACCACCTGCACAGTGGCAGCCAGCTAGTCTGGGACCCCAGGGAGCTCCACCGTGGTCCCAGGTCAGCAGGAAGTAGCTAGAGCAGTCATCGCCCTCTACGTCCCAAAGATCTGGGGCCCTGTGACTAGAGGGGGGATGTCGGGTAGTTCAGAGAGAAGTGAGCAGCGGGCAGGGGGAGAGGAGGGGGAAGGAACCACCCAGAGCCCAAGGAACCTGCGCTGCCAATCAGCCAGAGCGCAGAGAACCTGCGCTGCCAATCAGTCAATCAAGTAATCAGTCACAAAACAAGGATATAAAAACAGGAAAAACGAGGGACCGGCGCCGTTTTTCCTCCCTTGGGCTGGCCCGCCCCCAGTTCTCAGGAGTGCACTGTCTTTCACTACTTTTTTTACTTCACTAATAAAAATCTTGCTTATACCACGCTTTTTGTCTCGTCAAAAATTCTTTTCTTTTTCACGTGACCGAGAACCGAGGTAATTCTTATTTCCCTTTTCCCAGCAACAACTTGACAGCAAGAGCCTCAGGTTCCCCTAAGCACAGGTGGAGCCCAGGCCAGCCCCCTGCTGTAACAACATCCCGGCTGCTCAGTCTGACGCGGGGGTGGGGGGGCAGGCGTCTGAGCTTCCGGCCCCCCTGGAGCACACGGGGCTGTGCGGCGCCTGTTGCCGTGGTGACTGTCCGGCGCGGACTCCGGCCTCTCGAGGCCGACTCTCTCACCTGAGAGGCAGGTGCCCTGGGGCAGAGCCCAGACCGGCAGCGCTTCACTGGGACCCACGTCTGAAGCAGCAGGAGCACCTCCTGGTTGCTGGGGCCACGGGGGCTCTTCACCCCATGGGAGGAATCAAGGCTAAAAAGGGTTTTCTTCCTCAACAGACAGAATCCCCAGCCCAGCCCCTCGTGAAAGGTTTTTTTACGTTAGTTTTGGGTTGGTTTTTTTTTTATCTTCTTACTACATTTTGTGTCATTTACGGTGCTGAGCTAAGTGGGAGCGGTTTGAGTCATCTTGCCTGCTGTCAGCCCCCAGCTCGTGGAAAGGCAGTCAGGACGGGAGTGGGGCAGAGAGTCAGCTCCGTGGGGCTGGGACCCGTGTCCTTCAGCGGCTATAACTGACTGTTGCAACTCACAGGGACACACAACTCCATAAATGGCTGCTGGTTTCAGTCCTACAGGGAAGTAGGTGATAAATAGTTTCCGAGACCCGTGTAGATTGTGGCTGTTTAAGTCTTCCGGTGCATGTAGGCAGAGGAAGAACCATTTCAAAGGTGAGCTTAAAAACCCACCCGACATCCTTTGGAATCACTGTCTCGGGGCACTGCATCTTGAACAAACTCCCACTCACCCCAGATCCACCCAGAAGGGGAGTCAGGAAACGGGGAGGAACACACCTTCTCCTGCTGACTTCCAGCCGGGGGCACAGCCGTCTCGGACGGATCGCCCTCCGCACGTCCCTGGACTTGGATCTCCTTCTTTCCGCCCAGGACAGGCTGGGTGCCCGGCGAGCCCCTGTCCAGCTCTGTCACGTCAGCAAAGACTGTCTTCCAGTTCCTGGCAGTTCCTGGAACGGTGGTGACGCTCCCTGAATGTCTGTCATCAAAACGAATGAATGACTATATTTCATCCTGACTTTTATCCCAGTCAAGATTTTCTTCCACCTCATTTGAGTCTCGATTTGGGGAAGGAACAAACAAAGCATAAGGAAAGTGAGGGAGGAAAGGAAGCAGCTTTGGGACACCCTCTCTGAGGGCGATGTCTTGATTTGCTCTGGCTCCTGGAATAAAAAGTTCCCACCCTCCGTTTCCCCTCTTTGAGCCCACCGAAACCCCACCGATTAAGGATGCCCCCCGGATTTGGGGAATAAACCACACCCCCAAATTTCCATGGAGTCCATGGACCTACTCATCCCCAGTCAGCCTCTCTCAGGCTGATAATCAAAACCTGCACCGTCGTTCTTCACTCTGAAGGGTCTTCCATCAGCGGTCCTGTCCTACCCTTTTCACCACCCCTCCAAGGAGTGTAATACTTTACACAGATAGAGGATTTTCTAGATACAGAGTGTTTCATGTCCAACATTTTACTTAGATCCTGACCATCACTTTCAAAGTAATTTGGGAAGCTGTTAGTGTCCTCTTTTACTGAAAAAGAAATGCAGAGAACGTGTCTCTTGGCCGAGACCATTCACCCAGTTTTCCAAGAGGCAGCTGCACAGGGATCAAGAAACAGGCTGGCCGAGAGGCGCCCCGATGTGAGTCCCAGCTCCACCGCTGATCAGCTCTGCGTCCTCGGGCAAGTGGTTTAAAATCTCTGTGCCTTATTTTTTCATTCATTAAATGGGAATCGTAATGGTCCTCTCCTCACAGAGAATGGGCGAGGAAAGGGCTACACGAGTTAATGTATTTAGGATCCTTAGAACAGCCTCCAGCACACGACGCGTAATAAATGTTTGACATCGTCATTGGCGAAGCCAAGACCAGACCTGGGTCTTCCAGCCTCTAGCTCAGCGGCGTCTCTGCTGCCTTCCACCAGTCTCAGCCTTGACGTGCAGACCAGAACCTAAGGCCACCCACGTTCAAGTGAAAAGCTCATCTCTCACTGGGTCTCAGTGTCTCTGCTCATTGGGTCCAGAACTAACATCTCCCAGAACTTCACTGAGTCCTTTCGCCATTAAGCCAAGCTGCTACCCCTTGTTCTGGGCAGGATGTCAACCCTCTAAAGCTTAAAAAAATTTTATAAACCAAGCACTCCCATTCAGTATTTCCGACAGCCTGAAGACAGACTCTCCCACTCTTCTGGGAAAAGGCCTTCTACCTTCTGCCTTAAGAGATAAGAAGGCTTAGGGTGGCTGGTTGCTACCCTCTGGTGACGCCTGCTGCTGCCCCCAGGCCTTGGCGCAGGCTGGCTGTCCACTGGAACAGGCTCTCTTCGGTCCTTCCTACTACCACTGTCATCGGTACCAGACTGGTCGCTACTAGGCCACTTGCTTCTGGCTTTCTAAGTACGAGTCCTGTCCCTTGTACTTCCGTTATGTGCTTCTTGCAAGTGCAAACTCTGTCGTGTGTGGGTCTGTGCTCCCCACTGCACATAGCAAAATGCTCCGGACTCAGCAGATGCATAAACAGTGCTTACTTCATGGATGGATGGAAGGATGGATGGATGACGAATGGATGGATGATGGATGACGGATGGATGGATGATAGATGGAAGGATGGATGGATGATGGATGGATGGATGATGGATGGAAAGATGGATGGATGATGGATGGAAGGATGGATGGATGATGGATGGATGATGGATGGATGACGGATGGAAGGATGGATGGATGATGGATGGATGATGGATGATGGATGGATGATGGATGGATGAAGGATGGAAGGATGGGTGGATGATGAATGGAAGGATGGATGGATGACAAATGGATGGATGATGGATGACGGATGGATGGATGATAGATGGAAGGATGGATTGGATGATGAATGGATGGATGATGGATGATGGATGGGTGGATGATAGATGGAAGGATGGATGGATGATGGATGGATGGATGATGGATGATGGATGGATGATGGATGATGGATGGATGATGGATGGATG